GCTTTAAAATCATTAAAATCTTGAGTTATTTGAGTGTTAAAACTCATTTGACTTTGAATAAATTGATTTATAGTATCTTCCAGAGTTCTTCTTTGTGGGGGTTGATATGGTTGGTATTGTTGTTGGTTTTGTGGTTGTGGTGGACCTTGTGTTTGATTCGTAGATTGTGTATTTCTCCAACTAAAAGTCAGATGATTACTCTATCCTGGATTGTAAGTTTAAGAATATGGATTCAAATAAGGCTTATTATAAGTTGGAACAACGTTAGATTGTTCAATTAACACTTCTTTGAATGCAGGTATAGTTGGGCATTCTACTGCAGAATGTCCTGACAACGCACAAATTTCACATTTTTGATCAGTAATTGACACAACAGACACTTGTTTTATTTTTTTCATCTCTAAGGCTTCTAGTTTTCGAGATAAATTAGTCATTTTACCTCTTAAATCATCATCTTCTTTTAACACATATTTCCGTCTTTCGAATGTAGATGGCTTAGTTTCTACTATATTTGAAGAACTCGAGTCCCACATTTGAGAACTTTCAGAAATAGTATCAAAAAATTGAAATGCTTCTTCAGGATTTTTAATCATTAATTCCCCTTGGGCCATCATTTCAACAAATTGATGCATTGTAGGTAGAAGAGCATCATAGAAAAAACCAACTATAGTCCCGTTTTCAATTGCATGATGTGGACAAGTTTGGAGAAGATCTTTGAATCTTTCCCAACATTGATAAAAAGTTTCATGTTTTTTTACAGAAAAATTCATTATTTGACGTCTTAATGTATTTATAGGATATACAGGAAATTTTTTTTTTAAAGAACTCAACTTGTAAAGCTTGCCAGTTTGTGATTGAATTGGCTCTTAAAGAGTTAAGCCATTGTTTTGCTTTATCTTTCAAAGAAAACGGAAAAAATTTTAATCTAACCATCTCAGAATTATCTTGTAATGTTCCACAAACTTCTTCAAATTCTTTCATATGCATATAAGGATTTTCAGTTTCTAAACCATGTAACTGTGGTAATAAATATATTGTGTCAGGCATAATATTTAGATTTGGAGCATCTATTGGAAAAGCAAAACATGATGGGACATTAGTTCGGGTTGGATGTAAATATCCTCTAAATGGTCGAATATTTTGAACTACATCTTGTTCTCTAGGTTGTTCTTTCCTAGGTACATTTCTAGCCATACTTAGTTCAAATGATTCTTATGTAGATGAAGATGATGAAGAAGATGACTGACTTACAGATCCTAATGATGAATGAACATACATAAACTATTAAAGAAAACACACTTTTTATAGCAAATAAACAACTTTTGTATTTTATTTAATTTCAAATTACCATAACGCACCGGCAATGGCGCAAAACACTTGATTCGCACTTTTTCGTGATCGGATTAGTATTATACACCCAAGTATAAGTGGTCGAATTGTAGTTTTCTCAATTTTAAGTCCAAGTATCAATCCCACGAAGAGTGTGTATAATTAGGAAATAAAATAAAAATAGTGAAGTTGTTATTTTATATAGGATAGCATGTGATAGCTTGTGATGTGAACTTAAATTGATAACTAGTTTAATTAAAAAGTTATGTTGTAGATAAATTGAGAAAATAATATTAAAAGTATCCTTCAGTTCAAGGATCCCATATGCGTTACAGTGGTCAAGTACTGGAAATGCGACCTTACAACAATTAACTTCCATCTTACTAGCAAATCAATCGGTAGGTCTGATGTATATAAACCATCACACAGCAACTTCTCAGGTTAGCTGGTGGTATGCATGACAATTGATTAATCCAATCATACCAGAAGGACAAGTCATTCATGAGGAATACTTGAATTATTCAATTGACTCCATAATAGTAGTTGCGTACAAAATAAACCATAACACAGTCACTTCTTAGGTTAACTGGTGGTATTAAGTCATAACGCAACAACTTCTTAGGTTAGCTGGTTATAGATGTGTCATTTGACTAATTCCAGTGAACCAGAAGGACAAGTCATTCATAAGGAATACTTGAATTATTCATTTGGTCATCTGTGATATATATATACCAGTTAAACATCCTCAATATTCCGGTGGGGGACTAGCCATATTGATGGAACACCATAGATATTCATCTGGCAATATTATTATATATGAACAACCCTAATAACTAGAAGGACAAGCCATTCATGAGGATCATTTAGGTTTAGTACCATGCATCAGTAGAACATCCTCAGCATTCTGGTGGAGGATAAACCATATCGATAGGAACACCATAGATATTTAACTGGCAGGTTGATGATACATTGGTGCCATAATTCCAGGCACAGCACCAAAATTATATACATTATTGTATCATGCATGAAGCATATACTACATATATAGATAAATATATGAATAAAACATCAACATTTCCAGAGGTTAGCTAGTATTATACATATGTTTACCTCTCACTGGAGGATATAAGTAACTACTCACGCTCTATTGGTACAGACAAGCAAGGAGTGTGGCCAGTTTTTATTATAACTGAAAGTAAATAAAAACTCTAAAACTTCTTTCACAAGGAATAACTGAAACACAACCACCTTTATTATCAGTCAAGACAAAAAGGTAGCGGTAGTTCAACTATCCGAATAGAAAGCTACAACAGAAATGTAAAAGTACAAGATTTGGACTGAAGTGTAAGACAGACCGGATTACAATTTCTCTTTCTCTCTTTCTTTTTCTCTTTCTCTTTTTCTCTCTTGAACTTCTATGAAGCTCTTGGTGTCCGGCCTTCTTCAAATGAAGGAGTGCATGGATTTATATAGAGGTTGAAGCAAGTAAAAGGTGGAGGATCATCTTCAACTGCCACTTAGGGCCATCTGGACACCCCCTCCACCATCTGGACGGTGGAGCCTTGCTGGATTTTTCAAGTTGTTGAGTGCTGACTCTTCGTTTGTGGAAATTACACTTTAGCCTTTTGTTGTTTCAAGCCTTGACATCTTGTTCTTCTTATTTTGTAGTAATTCTACATTAAACCCTAAAATTTCAAACATAATATACATAAAACCCTAATTTACGCACAAAACCCTAATTGACCCTAATTAATAGTTTTTAATTATTTTCTCCTATAAATTTGACTTATTTACCTATTCTAATCTATATACTATCTAGGGTTAATCAAACCTCCTCGTAGCCATCAATGAAAACATTTGCGAGGCCACTCTCTAAATCAGCCTCAACCTTGACGGCCCTCTCACGAGCCGATAGCAGATTCGTCTCAACCTGCGAAAACCTCTCACGAGCTACCTTCATCTTTGCCTCTGCTCTCAAGCGGGCAGCCTCTTTGAGGGTGGCCCTCTCACGGGTCGCCACATGCTCAACCTCAATCTTAGCCTCCCTTTTATGGGTCGCCACAAGCTCTGTTTTAGCCCTTGTGCAAGCAGCCTCACTAAGTCTGGCCCTCTCACGAGTTGCCATAAGCTCAGGCTGGGAAGCCCTACCATCAGCTTCAAGCTCAGCATTCCTCCCCTAAGTAGTAAGAAGCTCCTTTTGCACAACCTCACAACTCTACTTCAATTGCATAAAATGAATAGCCCTTGAAAAGTGACACACAAAGGCAACTGAAACTTGAAGAAGATAAAAGAATGTTAGTACCTAAGGAGGGACTGGAGAAAGGGAAAAAGCAGCCACTACCTAAGCCAAACCTTCAAGGACAGTGCCGATGACACCTTTAGTACCCTGAGCACTAGCCTCTCTAATGTCCACTGGAAACACAAACCTGCCAAGTCGATCCCTGACGACTCGCACATCACCCAACATGGAGCCAGTCTAAGCAGGTGCTCATGTAAAAGTCCCTGTAGGAGGAGTCGATGAACATGGGGTAGGAGGTGTGGCCGATAAGGGAATATTTGAATTGACTGTCACCTCTGAAGGAATCGTTGACTAAGGAGGCACCACTAGAGAAGTTATTTAAGAGGGGCTCACCAAAGCATTGCTGATCCTCGCCACCTTAGGAGGAGGAGTACTCCTAGTGGAATAATGGGACCCCACCACTATCCTCTCCACTACAAAAGGATAAAAGTGTTATCCTATGAAAGACTAAGCAAAGAAAGAGAATACAAGGGAATCAGCAGACCATTTCTCTTTAAAGAGGAACCGCCAGGTCCTAGAGAGGGTGCACCAACCCTAGCACTGCCTATAGGACAGTCTTTAGCTTCACCCTCTTTGAGCATAAGAGCTCCAAAGTCCTTAATGGGGTAAGCCCTCACAGCCTACAACTTCTATTCTTGATCTTTCGAGAGCACTGGAGAACCTGTAAGAGGTGTGATGAGTACACTTTTACAAAAAAGGCAAAGGAAAAAGGATAAGAGTGGGCATAACAATTCTCTTGGGAGTGTCCCATTTTTTTGGTACCAAAGCTCTGTCGGCCTCTGAAGCCCACACTCCTCCAACATACATGAAGTGAGCCTTCCAGTTATGGCAGTTGGAGCGCAACCCAGTAATCAATTTACCTCCCCTCAGAGCAAAGTAGTACCAACCACAATTAGGAGCATTAATCTCACTCAGAGTATAAGCCACACAAAACTCTTCAGGAGAAGCATCCTCATAGTGCACGTTTCTTTACAGTGCCAAAAACCATAGCAAAATTCTTCAACCGTTGGTCGTCAACTGCCCTAGCACAAGTGAAAAGAAATGTAGAATGTGACAAACAGAGGAAGGCATTGGGAACCTCAACCCAACGTCCAGCACTTTCTCATAGATAGCAATGTCTCTAGAGGATTCATCACAAGCAGGCTAACCCATTTCGGCTCGACGACACAGTACCATTTCCTCAATGCTTGCTATTACGAAAAAAAAGTGAGGCGTTGCCCAAGCCACTATGAGGAGAGCCTCGAGTGATCTGACTCTGAGAAGTTCCACCTGAATGAGCCAAATCATCAGCCATTTTACCAAAATTGACACCACCAAAAATATCCAGCGAGCTCTCCTCTGGCAGTTATAAAGATCTATCCCCCGCGTCCACCTCTACCACATCAGGCTTGCCCAATGACAATAGCCCAATTAAGCCCAACCCTGAAAGACCACACCCGGCACATGGCGTGCCTGCCTGATCATACTTAGTGCCCAGCGGTGCCTCTAGCACCTCACCAAGCGGTGCCCCTGGTGCATGTTCCTCCGTGCTCGCCCTCATGCCTATTAGCTCCTCGCCAAACGACGCCCCTAGTGCCTAGTCCTCCATGCTCTCCCCTACTTCAGATGACACCACTCCTAACAGCATTGAGCTCAACATCTTGCTCACCTCATCCTCCCTCAAAAAGGTCCCTCCGCGAATAGCAGAGCCGCCCGCCATCGGCACCCCTTGCGCTTCCATTTCGGCGTTCATGAACTGCGACGCCCCAACTTCAATGCCCAATGCTTGGGTCCCATTTCCTTCAGCCCTCGATGCCTGGGTTGCCCCACTTTTAATGTACGCCATCTGGGCTACCTCACCATCGCCTTCTTGGATCCTTATTTCACCGACATCCATGGTCTCTCCGATGTTCACCTCTCTTACATCAACATCAACAACTCCACCACTCCTTGACTTCCCATCTACATTAAGGGCCACTGGCATCTCCTCTCTTTCACTCGACATCCAATTTTGGGCACTCAACTCAGGAGCAAAACCACTAGTCTTACTCTCCTTCTTGAGCACTTCACTAAAGGCCCTCTTTTAAATGGATGAAATGAGGAGAGAAAGAAGAAACCCCCAATTTATGGCCTAGGGATTTTTGAAATACCAAAAGGAAGTAAAATGGGGGGAGTTTATATAACCAGAGATATCCTATACGCAAAAGGAGTTTATATATCAGGAAGGAAAGGAGTCGTCAGTCAAAAGGAGTCTCCAGGAAATCCAAGTAGAAGAAGGGTTGACACTATTTTGACCGTAACTTTTGATCCATTTGGAGTTATGGGACCCATAATATATCAAATCGAAGCTTACAATGAGCCCTACAAAAAACATCACCTTTAGCCATGACGGACACCGTTAAAATCCCAAAAAAGGACAGGAAACATGTGTTTGGGGCTTCCAAAGTTTTTCTAGTTTTAGGTTCAGCCGAAATCCAGGCTTAACTGAATGCCCTCTTCTCCAAGTTTCATTGGACACAGGACATTGGGGGGTAAATGATGGGCCAAGCCCAAGGGCCCAACTTATGTTATAAGTCCAGTCTGAATAAAAAGCCCAACTTGAAGAGATCCAATGTGTCCAGCCCAAGGGATGTCCACACCCAGCCAAGCTCATCAGGTTTCGAGGAGCTACATCACCAAGGGAGTAAGTGGGGTCATCCAAGAGCCTTATCCATGCCACCTTGGAAGAAATCAACCACCACTTATTCCTTTAACCTGATCTTAAGGGGAGCTCCGTAACTGCCTCATCCGTTGAGAAGATAGTGTCAGCTCCATCAGATTCGTTACTTATTTACTGAAAAGGCGCCTCAATCTGTTGATAGCCACTATAAATTGTAAGCCTTTCTAATACTTGGGGGGCATCGAGCACACCTGCTATCATTCTCCCCTCTCTCTCATTGCGTGTATCTCCCTGCTCTCCCTACACTTCTCGAAGTAATAAAATATCCAGGCCACCCTAACCCTTCATAGTGGATGTAGGTCACGTTGACTGAACCACTCTACATTTTTGCCTTGCATGAGTTACTCTCTCTTTATTTAATTACTACATTAATTACTGATTACTTGATAGGTGGTGCAAAAAATCAATTTGTGCATCATCAAAAGCTGTGGTCATTGATTAACCATCAAAATTATTATTTTATTATTTTTAATAATTGGTTAATTGCATATTATTTATGATTAAACGTGTTAAATTCCTTGATTTTCAAGTTTGATATTTTTTCTAGTTGTTTGATTTATTTTACAGGTAAATTGGTTGATTTAAAGTAATAATGGATAAGGCAAATGAAGCAATCACTAAAGGAAGTATCACAATTGATAACGATTGAAGAGTCAAGATTAAGATAGGAAGACTTGAAGATAAGGTAGCAATTTAATCCTTATGAGAGTCTAAATTGGAAGAAAATTCATTTAAAGTTGGATTATGAAAGTATCCTAGAAGATAAGGATTTGACATATCTTTCATATTTTGCTCATAACTTTTGACTCTGATATCTGATTGACCTGTTTTTTGTGAGGTTGGAAAGAAGACGTCATGGGCTACAAAAGTGTGTTTCATGAAATTTTTATGAATTGGCCTCTAAATATACGAAATTTAAGTTTGAAATCTGGATAGATTTTGTATTCGCTCCCCCAAGGTTTTATGCACGGGATTTAACCTTAAAAAACTTCTTTTTGGAAAAGAATTCTTCACAAACCAACCCTAGATCTCCTACTTATACCTAGGTTATATTTTAGTATAAATAAGGGCTCTCACCTATTAAGAGGGGATGATTAGGGTTATTATTCTCTTCCAATCTTTTCTTTTCAAGTTTTTGTTCTAGTTCTATGGCTTGCTAAGAGCCAAACTAAAGCTAGGGGAGACACTTTCAATGAAGCACGGTATTTATTATTGATTTAATATTCTTTTTAATCCATGATTTATTCTTTTAATTTAATTCTTGTATTTTAATAAAATTTTTACTCTGTATAATTTTTTGATTTGTTGTCTCATGTGCATTGAATGTTTGAGATTTCCTACGAATCAAATNTTTTTTACTCTGTATAATTTTTTGATTTGTTGTCTCATGTGCATTGAATGTTTGAGATTTCCTACGAATCAAATAACTAAATATATCATGCTTGAATTAATTAATTATAATTTCTAATAAAATAGTTGATTTATCATAGACTCCGAGCACAATGAATGCTTGTGATTTACAAGTAAATTTTTATATTCGTTCAGATAATTCATTAATTATAACTCTTGATGTTTTCAAATTATCATCGATAAATATTCTGATTGGGATCACTNTTTATATTCGTTCAGATAATTCATTAATTATAACTCTTGATGTTTTCAAATTATCATCGATAAATATTCTGATTGGGATCACTCCTCAACTGATTCTCAATTGAGTTCAAAAACTGGATTATTAATAATTGTCATTTGGATTTGAAAGGGTATCTCCGATGCTTTAGTATTTTCAATTATTTTTTTAAAACAAAATTTATTATTTTCTAATTTAAAAATATCTACAACAACTTTTTCAAAGCAATTTTTTTTTATTTTTCTGTGTGTTCTATGTTTTCACAATTCTCTGTGATTCGACATTGGACTTTCGAGTATTGTATTACTTCACACAACCTGCACTTGGATGAAGAATTCTAATGTTGTAGCAATCATTAGGAGCTAGGTGCAAGAGGTTGGCAAATTCAACTATTATAGGAGAATGGCCTAGCCCAGCCAAGCGCCAGATAGCCATTACCCCAACAATAATACCCCACCCCTCCATGGAGACATGAGTGGTACACAGGTTGAAGTAGTGGAGAACGGTCCTCACAAAAGGAGAGAAAGGGAATCGAAGCTCAGCCTCAAAGGCATGCTCGAATAAGCAAGCACAAACAAAGGAGACTATATTGCATGGAGAGTCGGGTTTGGGGACTTGAACTTGGACCTTGGCAGGAAAGCCAGTGTTCCCAGATGGTCAACAAATTAGCCAACGTCATTACGTTGGGAACCAACAAGTCAGCCCAAGCAGGCTCTATAAAAATTCTAGCACGCATCCTAAAAGTTCTAATATGACGTTGAACATCCATAAAGAAACACAAAATGAGAATGTGAAGAAGACAATGAAGGTTGTAGAGTCCTAAAGAAGCTTAAGTAGAGGATGAGCCACTTTCCCTTAAATTGATTTAAATGCAGGGTAACTATGCTTAGGGGCAGTATGTCCGATATACAAGGAATCATGAAGATGAAATGACATCAATCACACCCTCTGGAAGCTTGGCAGTTAAGGGATAATGCAACTGTCACTTGTACATCATTTCAAATGTCATGAGCAAAGCACAGGTTCATCCTCCTTAACTTGGGCCCATCATGGCCTAATCTAAAAGGAGCCAAACCTCAAGTGTAACTCAGAATAGTTAAAAACCCATTTAGACTAACAAAGTCCAATATAAGATGGGACATGAAAATTCAAGCACAGTTTTCAATTGATAGTTGATCTACAAGAAAGAAAAATGGAAAATATCACGAAGACCCCTCAAGGGTGGAGCAAAGATAGTGGGGGCAACATATATGGCACTAGTAACTGCTTCATCATCATCCTTGGTAGTGTCAAAAGGATCTTTGGCACAGATCAAAGCTAGCTCCTCCCTCACCCTCGGTTGAGGTGAGCTGCTCACCCCTTTACCTGTGCCCTTATTTTGGTCATCCACAACTATAGTGGTTACATCCTGGCCAGGCTTAAAGGAGAGAAGTCCATATCAGGAAACAACTTTTGTGCTCATCTCCTGAAGTCTTCAAACCCATCGACATAATACTCCAATGTCTCCTCCTTGAACTCTGTGGAATCCTGATACGCAGATAAGGCCAGAGCTCCAACAGCCTTCAACTTAGCCTCCTTCTCCTCGGAGGAGATAGAAAGCTCCAAGACCTTGGGAAAGGGTGATTCAAACTATTTTGTGATTGGATTTATATTATACACCCAAGTATAAGTGGTCAAATTATAGTTTTCTCGGTTTAAGTCCAAGATCGACCCCACGAAGAGTTTTTAATAANACACCCAAGTATAAGTGGTCAAATTATAGTTTTCTCGGTTTAAGTCCAAGATCGACCCCACGAAGAGTTTTTAATAATTTAGAATTTAAAATAAGAATAGTGAAATTATTGTTAAAACCGTGTAGCATGAGATAGCATGTAATGTGAGCTTAGATTGATAACTAGTCTAAGTAAATGAAATGTATAAACTGATTGTCGAAAGACAATAATATGAAAAGTACCCTTCACTTTAAGGATCTCATATGCTCTATATTAGTCAAATACTGGAAATGCTACCTTATAATAATTAACTTCCACGTCACTGGAAAGTCAACCGGTAGGTCTGATGTATAAAAATTATATCACAACAATTTCTTAAGGTAGCTGGTAGTATACATGTCAATTGACTAATCCAAGTAATCCAAAAGGTCAAGCCATTCATGAGGATTGCTTGAATTACTCAATCGGCAATAGTATAGTAAGTAGATGCATATTAAACCATAAGTCAACAACTTCTTAGGTTAGCTAATGGTATTATTAAACCATAACTCAACAACTTCTAAGGTTAGCTGGTGGTATTATTAAACCATAACACAGTAACTTCTTAGGTTAGCTAGTTATATGACAATTGACTAATCCAAATAAACCAGAAGGACAAGTCATTCATGAGGATCATTTGAATTATTCAATTGGCTTTATTATAGTAAGTATCAGTTAAACAACCCTAATAAACTAGAAGGACAAGTCATTCATGAGGATCATTTAGGTTATTCATCTGACAACTTTTATATCTTGTATCAGTTAAACAACCCTAGTAATCCAAAAGGACAAGTCATTCATGAGGATTACTTAGATTATTAATCTGACAATTGTACCATGTAATAGTAGAACATCCTCAGTGCTCCTGGAGAACTAGTCATGCC